TGTCTCTCCCTGGCCCAGGTGTGGCTCCCTGCCATGAAAGCCAAGGGGCTGGAGATCTCTGGCACCTTCAGCCGCCAGGTGGGCTCCATCTCCATGGACCTGGTGCTGACCAACAAAGCCCTGCAGGTCATGTCTGACTTTGCCATCCAGTTCAACCGCAACAGGTGAGTCCCACCCGGGCTGGCTCACCTGGGATCCCTGGAGACCCTGCCCAGAGCAGGAAAGGGTGTGAGGAAGGAGCTGCAAGGGCTGGGAAGAGCCTCTGGTGATGACCCTTCTGTCTCTGATGGCTGTGGTGGTGATGAGCACCAAAGCAAAGCCTCTAAGAAGTTGGCTGAAGAGGCTGTTCCTCAGGGTCTGTTGGTTGTCCTGGGGAAGCACAGCTTCCTCCTCCCTCCAAGGCACTGAGGGAATGCTGCAGGAATGCCACACATGGCTGGAGGAGGAAGGGGACATTTGAGGGTGGGCAGGGCAGGAACCAGCCCCATCCTGGACGGTGCAGGGCAGTGAGGGGATTCCTGGGATGCCCATGGAGGAAGGCAGGGAGCACCAGGCTTGGATGGGGACAGCACCCTGTGCCATCCCCTGCTGTCCCCACCCTGACCCCTGCCCTCCCTGGTGTCCCCCAGTTTCGGCCTGGCCCCAGCAGCTCCTCTGCAGGTTCATGCACCTCTGGCTCCCAACCAGTCCGTGGAGATCTCCCTGCCCCTCAACACCGTGGGCTCTGTCATGAAGATGGAGCCCCTCAACAACCTCCAGGTGGGCAACACGGGGCTGTCCCCTCCTGGGGACATGGGGACAGGGCAGGGGCCCTTGGAGACATCCACAGGGAGGTGGGACAGCAGGGACCAGGGGCTCCAGAGAGATGGGGATGGGGATGAGGATGGAGATGGGATGGGATGGGATGGGATGGGATGGGGATGGGGATGGGATGGGATGGGGATGGGACGGGATGGGACATTTTGAGATGAGATGGAACATTTTGGGAACCTGCTGTGTATTGGAGGTGTTGAAATCCCTGTGTCCTTCCTCCCCAGGTGGCAGTGAAGAACAACATTGACGTCTTCTACTTCAGCACCCTGTACCCCCTGCACATCCTGTTCGTGGAGGACGGCAAGATGGGTGAGTGGGGTGACCATGGCTGCAGCAAGGTGTGCTCTGTCACCTGTCCCTAGGTGCCATCTCAGCCCTGGAACCTCCTTGATCCCATTGGGTGAGCCCCCAAGAGCAGGTGGCTGCCCTGAGCCTGCTGGGGCGGGTGGCAGGGTGACACACCTGGGCTGCCATGTCACCTGTGTGGTGTCACCTTTGGGGTGGCCGGTCTGGCAGCTCCCTCAGCGCTGGTGTCCCCTCCCTGCAGAGAGACAGACATTCCTGGCCACCTGGAAGGACATTCCCAACGAGAACGAGACCCAGTTCCAGATCAAAGACTGTTCCCTCAACGCAGGTGGGTGCCACCCCTCACAAGGACCTGGGTCACACTTAACTCCCCCTGTCCCCAGGTGCCACATCCACGTGGCTGTTCAGTCCCTGCAGGGGAGGGGACTCCAGCACTGCCCTGGGCACCTGTGCCACCCTTTCCATGAAGGAATTTCCCCTAATGGCCAATCTAAGCCTCTTCCATGACGAGGAGGGGAGGAGGTGGGGCAGGGGCTCAGCCCAGCCCCTCAGCCTCTCTCTCCCATCCCAGATGCTGTGAGCAGCAAACTCCAAGGCAGCAACATCTTCACCATTGCCAAGAGGAACGTGGAGGGCCAGGACATGCTCTACCAGTCCCTGAAGCTCACCAACGGCATCTGGGTGCTGGCAGAGCTGCGGATCCAGCCCAGCAACCCCAGCTTCACGGTACATCCCATCCCTGCCTGCTCCCAGACCCGGGGCTGGGGGCACATCCCTGCTCTGGGAGCTCCCCTGGTGCCAGCCCTGCTGTCCCTCTGTCGTGGGGAGGGTGGCACTGCTCCTCTGGGGACAGCTGAGGGACACACAGGGCTCCCAGCCCGCCCAGCTCCATGGAATCCTATCCTCAGAGCATTCCCTGAGCAGGGATCTCTCCACTCCTCAGCCATGAGCCACCCCGGTGTCCTGCTGTCCCTGTCCCCTCCCCTGTCCCTGGCAGCCTTTGGGGTGGGGTGGGGCCAGCTGTGTCACCCTGACTCCTCTCTCTGTGTCTGTCCCGCCGCCCGCCCTCGCCGGCCTCGCTGCTCTTGCAGGATTTGGAGGTTAGAGATTGGTTTTTCCCTGGCTTTGGGCTCTCCCTGGCTGCTGCCTGGATATTCCTCCCTCTCCCGATGTTTTTCCCTGCCCTGGCAGTCTCCTGGTGCCTCCTGCCTCTCCTTCCCAGCAGGGCTGGCACAAGGAGGGGACGATTCCAAGGGTTGGGATGTCCCCATTGCCCTGCTGGTGTCACTGGGGATGAGAAAAATCCTGAAATAGCTGAAAATCCTTATCCCAGAGGATTCTCCACGAGCTTTCCCTGCTTGAGGAGCTAATGGCTTTGGGAATGCTGTAATATTTAAGCAAACACCTGAAGGGGCTCATTCCTCTTTGGAAAGGAGGATGTGTTTGGGGAACCCTTCACTTCCCTGGAGCACCAGGCACTGAATCCAATGCCAAAAGCTGCAGTGTTGCCCCTGCCTGTTCCCTGCCTGTGCTGCATGTGGATGGCTGTGCCCTGGGAGGGCTTGCAGGGCTTGGATGACCTTTTTGCAGCTGCCATCAGGAGCTGGAGTGCCCCGTGGCAGGGAGGGAGGGAGGGAGCTGCAGCATGCAGGGCTCTGCTTTGGGGCTGGGGGCTCTCCAGCATGGGGGGGGTGCCATGACCCCGCTGTTCCCTCTCTCCCCACAGTTATCCCTCAAATGCCGAGCACCAGAGGTGTCCCAGTACATCTACCAAGCCTATGAGACCATCCTGAAGAACTGAGGTGCTGCTGCAGCCCCTCTTCCTCCTCCTCCTCCTCCTCCTCCCGTCCCTTTCCCGCCCGAGGGAGCAGGGCTGGATCCGTGTGCATGTCCCTTTGCCCCCTGCCCAGGACCCAGCCCCTGGGCTTCTCCCTGTCCTGGGGGAGCAGAGGGGGCAGGGGGCTGTCCCCAGTCCTGCATCCCTGCAGCAATCCATGTGTGAGTGATGCCCTGTGCTCCTCCTGGTGCTGCTCCCTCCACATCCCAGAAACCCCAGCTCCTGCTCCTGGCTCTCATGGAGTGCTGGCTGGTGGTGGGTTCAGCATTCCAAACCCTGGGAATAGCTGCTGGGGGCCCAGAGTGCTGTGGGATTGGCTGCAGATCCCCCTGGAGCCCTGGGATTTGGGGCTGGAGCAGGTGGGAAGCAGCTTTGGCTCTCCCTGGTTCAGCAGAGCTGTGGGTGAGCCCTTCCCAGAGGATCTCCTCCCCATGGGAGCCCTTCCCAAAGCTCCCAGGAGGGCTCGAGGATCCCACATTTGAGGCTGTACTTAAGGTGCAGGTTCAAAAGGGCTTCTCCAGCCCCTGCCACGGGGCCAGGAGGGCTCTGAGTGTCCCCTGTCCCCCAGCCCAGCCCCACGGCTCCCTCTGCTCCCCCCTGGGTGCTCCCCTGGGGCTCCCACTGCTCCTGTCCCCCCCAAATCAAGCCATGGGTCCCCCCCTCCCTGGAAGCAGGAAATCTCTAATATATGAAAGATAAATATATTGTAATGTTCACTGCTTTGAGGGAATGTTGAATAAAGGTGACACCAGCCCATGGGGACACTGCTGGGGTGGCCATGGCCCGGTGACCCTGAGGGAAGCTGGGTCCTGGGAGCTTCCTGCCAGCCCTGCAGGGCCAGATAAACCCTCTGGCACAGCAAGGCCTGACACAGCAGATGGGCAGGGCTGGGACAGGGACACGGGGCCAGTCACCCCTTGGGGACAGGAAGGGCCTGGAGAGCCCTGGAGCCTCTCAGGGACCCACCAAAGTGACCCTGCACTGTCCATGGTGTCCAGGCTGGGTGCCCCGAGCCCCTCCTGGGGTTGGGGACAAGTGTGGGGTCCCCAGGAGATCCCTGTGGGGTGGGTGATGAGCAGCAGCAGCCAGTCCTGCTCTGGGACACCCCACAGGCCACCAACCCCCCTGTCAGAGCAGCTGTCCAGGGACCACAATGGGCACCCTGCTTTGGAACCCCCAGAGTCACAGCAGGGAGGTCACCACCACGGTCTGGAGCCTCCTGGTGACCCACAGCTGCTGTGTCCCCCTGGGCCAGCAGCCCTGGGGTGAAGGTCCCTGGCCATGGGGCACTTGGGGCTCCAGGGACACCTCTGGAGGGTCCCAGTGGCTGTAAGGGGGTCCAGGACATTGGGACTCAGCTCTTCACTGCTCCCACCCTCCCTGGGGCCTGGGGCTGAATCCCCCTGGACAGATGAGCAGACAGGGTGGGCTCAGCTCCGTTGGTCTTTACTGGCTGCAGAGGACATGCAGGGGTGGGGGCTCGGTGGCCTTGGGCTGGGGACACAGCCCTGTCCCACCCTGGGGACATCAACACGAGCTGGGGGCAGTGCTGGGGGCTGGAGAGGGAACAGTGACCCCCTGCCCTGGAACAGGGCTGGTGGTGACAAACTGCATGTCCCCAAGTCATCTCACAGCTGGAGAGGAGAGCAAAAAGTGGCCAAGGTGGTAATGATGAGGCCAAGAAGAGAAGAGGAAGGTCAAGAAGATGATGAGAGAAAAAGAGGTGAAGGCCAAGAGAAGAGGAGGAGGCAGCCCAAAAGAAGAGAGGAGAGAGAAGATGAGAGGAAGAGGGAGGAGGAGGATGACAAGAATAGCAAGAAGAGGAGGAGAAGACAAGAAGAGAAGGTCAAGATAAGGAAAACAAGTGGAGAAGAGTGAGGAGATGAAGAGAACTGGGTGCTCTCCAGCCCCATTCCCAGCTCTGCGCACACACCTGCCCCCCTGGAACTGCACCCAGGCCATGGGGACACCCCTGGCACCCTCTGGGGCTGGGGGCTCCTTGCAGGGCCCCCC